GGTCCCCGCACCAATGCAAGTTAATGTCCTTGCCTACTACCACTCTGGAAAGCTTAGAGAGAACAAGTAGAAATCCTTCCCCAGCCCCCGGAATATACCTGGCGAAAATGGACTGCGAGCATTGCTGTTTACACTCTTGATTAGTGGAGAAACGATATAAAGAGTATATAAATCAATCAGGAATTGAAGATGTAAACAGTGTTGAATAAGTGTTTGTAACAATGTATTCATAGTGAACAAATTCAGAGTTGGAAAAGACACTGGTAAAACCTATGGGTCTACTGTGGTGACCTTTTCTTATAGTGAACACGTTTACCTGGGATAATTAAAATATTCTATCAAAACTCATCCCAATAATAATCACCGTTGCAACTGCATTTCAAAACCAATTTTATCCGGAATCTTAGTCAAGGCGGGCGGGAAGTTCCCCCCAAAACCCCGGGGCTGGCAACCTGACGCCACGCGCCCCACCCTCCCAAGCCTCCAGAGATCTCGTTCTTCTTTCTCAATTACATTGTTGCCAGAAATTATAACAATGTTTTGGTTCATTTCAGTTTGTTTTTCCAGTCGAAACTTTTATTTTTTTTGTTTACTTCAATTCGAGACAAGAGCCAAACTCTAAACCCGTGATTTATATTCAGTGTTATCTTAGTGGGCTGACGCTAAGATTATCACTGTTTACTTTGTTTTGTCTTTCCACGATTCCATACTGCTACTATGAACTATGATAAATAATAGATATATCAAGATCTGTCTTGCTATCTATCTATCATACTCTGGAACACCTCAATTTTTAGTTGCATTGGTCTCAACTGTTAATAATATTCTAGTCCAATTTAGTATTTGACTTTGTCTTGTGATTTATCCCAATATTTAAATTTATCAATATCTAAACAACTGAACCTGTATGTGAAGTTTGGAGGCCAGACGCTTGCGGCTAGCCTCGTTAAACTTTACAGGATTTTTTGTGATGTCTCTGGAGTGTCATAGGGAGCTGGGTGGGGGGGCGGCTTCCCCAGTGCCCCTTTTGAAGTCAGTAGATATAAAACGTTCAGCCCCTGAATCCATAGAGTAACGTTTCTTTAAAAGCGAAAGTATACAGACATTCATACGTAAACCGAAGTTAAGACTATAGATTTGCATTTTGGGTATAAACAAAATTTTTGGCTAAAATAATGGAGATTGTGGTGAAAGTGGTTACAAAGAAAAGAAATGTGTGTGTAGGAGCAGGCAGACTCGACCAGGGCACAGCCGGGTATCAGTCTGAATATAAGCAAATTTACGAGACTAACGCTCTTGTGAATATAAGCAAATTTACGAGACTAACGCTCTTGTGAATATTATGCCGGTCATTTTTATAAATATTTCTAGAGTTAATTGAACTTTAATATTAATCCACCCATCTTATCAGGACCAAAGGATTTGGGTCAAATATTTCTAAAGTGATATACTCTTAGAGCGCCCGACAGCCGAGTGGACAACGCTTCGGATTCGTAGTTCTGAGGTTCCGGGTTCGATCCCCAGTAGAGGCGGCGACAAATGGGCAAAAAATTTCTTTCACACTGATGCCCCTGTTACCTAGCAGTAAATAGGTACCTGGGAGTTAGACAGCTGCTACGGGCCGCTTCCAGGGGGGGTATGTAACAAAAAGGAGGCCTGGTCGAAGACCGGGCCGCGGGGACGCTAAGCCCCGAAATCATCTCAAGATAACCCCAAGATAAGATTGAAATTGAAATAAGTTTATTGAGGTAAAATACACACAAAGGGATGAGGTAGCTCAAGCTATTCTCACCCCGTTCAGTACAACGTGTTAATACATAAGATAAGATATATCGGTGCTACCCAAGTGTGAAATAAACACTATATAAAGGAGTACAGTAGGTTAGTGATCATCGCTCAAAAGGAACAATCTGTCCTCTTTGTCACCGACTGCGTTGTGGACCATCTTGCCTCTTCTATGATAAAAAAAACTACATTCAAGGACTATATATTGTGGGAAGTAATTTACGGCACTTTAGTTCCATTTTGTGTATTTTATTTTCATGTTATTATTGTGTGTTATTATTATCATCTTAACTCTTGTGGGTTGTGATGAGATCTGCCATTTATGTGTATTTTAGTTTGTGTTTGATAGGGTATTAGTTATGCTTAGGGGGTGCCTTCTCGCCATGTCCTGTGGCTGGGGGGTTGGTGCCCTGAAGCTACATAAACACCCTATACCCCCCGAAGTGGCAAGGGGAGTTAGGGGACAACAAATTAGAGCCTAAGCAGATTAAGTGGGTAGGTTTGTGCACTATACATAGAGTACTGCGTGTATACGATGTTCGCGACCCCGCATTGCCCAGTGGTCTTTAATACGCAGTTTGAAGGGAGCGAGGCTTCACGCGCAGTTCGGAAGTTACCAACGAATGCCACAGAACAGAGCGAACAGCTCAGCGCTAACAGAACAGAGCGAAACAAACGTACGCGGACAGACAGAAGCGGGGGAAAGGCGGGAGGAGGGTACCATGTGGTGTAGTGTTTCACCTTGCAATAGAGAAGACCTCGCGTTTAATCCTGGATAGGGCGAGATGATTGGGTACTGCTCCTGTGCACCCAGCAGTAATTGTTGGATCGTGTTCTGGGAAAGCCTATCTTTGAATACCCGAACCTGTTAGTACCTGGCTCACAGCCGAACCCTAACAAAAAAGATGTAAAAACAGCTTGACCTAATATCCATAGCCTTTGGGTATTGCTTTAGCTAACCAAATTACCATGTTTTTAATTTGTTGATATATATCACCTTATGTTAGATCAGCCCGGCCTCTAGTTGGCAACGGAAAGAAAATGAACTAAAACCATTGAACCTAACCTAACTTGCCCAGGCATACGAAAAGTGGATGTTTGCGCAATCCTTCCTCCGAATAGACAGTACGTTTTAATAATAAATGTAATAAGCACATTCCTGACTGTCTGCATAGTACATAATTAAACTTATTGTGCTGTTACATTTACCACCCCATATATTCTCATTTTCTTTTAATACACTCAAAATTTTTAGGTTGAAGTTTTCGTGTTTAATTCTATATACACAAGTTTTAAATATATAGGATTTCCTTCAGTTTTATTAAACAAAGATTTTATACAAATTTTGAAAATATCCCGAGTTACTTTATAATTTATTGAAAGACTTTAGTTTTATTTTATTAGTTTTATAAAATTGTAATATTATAGCTATAGGTTAAGTACAAATTGTAATTAAGAAGCAATAAATGCTATTTACATGCTTGTCCTCCTACACTCCCAAGGTTAGGTTAGGTCGTGGTTTTCTATACAGTTTTTCAGGTCAACTAATATTCACAATATTTTGGTGCGATGCTGGCAATTAAGTGTATTTATGTACTATGCCGATAGTCTGGATTGTACTTATTACATTTAGTATTAAAGGTAGTCTATTCGGAGGATGGGCTGGTTTGCGAGCAGCTTTGATTTATAGTACCCCTGTATTTTGATGTTGGGGATTTCTATGTCAAAATGCCGTGGATTGTTTGACTGGAATCGCTGCTTAGACACCCAAACCACACACCTGGTAAGACAGTGACGACGTTTCGGTCGCCACTTTCTGTTCAGATGTGTAGGCTGGACGTCTTAATTTTGAACCATAATCTAATTTTCAGCGTTAACTTACCGTCTGCATCTTTACGTCTTTCTGCTCTAATACAGGGAATGACATTAAGGAACCGACTTATGACATGGGCACAGACGTATAGCCATAATATAATATCTAGGAACTTTTGATCATATTTGTGTGTGTGGTCGGAGCATCTGAACGAGTTTTGTCCTGGTATTGCCAGGAGGGGCGCGGGAGTCCAGTGCCGCTATTTGTTAGCAGTCGTCAACCTCTCAGGAATGTGTTAAGTAGACCACCACCCATGCTGCTAGTAGTTACAGTACTCACAAATATTACTTCCTATACACCTTGAAACCTAATATACTTATTCGGCTTATTTGGTTTTTAGAGTGAATAAAATAAGATTGGTTTGCCAACCTCAGGAACAGTTAAGTTATCGTTCTCTTAGCCAATGATTTCCCTTTCTTAGGATGCAGCCCATAACAGTTTACTAACTCGCTGGTACCTATTTACTGCTAGGTGGAGAGAGGTGTAAAGAAACGCACCCTAACGCCTCTTCCTGCCCTAGAATCAAACCCAGGACCATAAGGTTTAGAGCTGATTGCGTTAAATTTAACGCTAACACTGTATTTATAAAATGCAATAAAATACTTCGTCTAGAATGTGTAGGTAATACCGAGTAATGACTATTAGTACATCATAAGTCTACAACTGATCTAAACTTTTAAGTATTGATGATATGCTGTATAAAACACCGATATACCCAATTCATATATATCTGCTCAGGGCGGGATGACGCAATACTACCACAGTTTGCATACAGAAGACCTTGCCTCTCTATTTCGTTCTCCTTGACTTAGAGAGTTACTCTACTCTCAAATGTAAGAATAGCTCTAACGCTGTCAATCTAGACATGTCTAAAACACAGGAAATAGAACACGAAATATAATCTTGGAGTTTATTAAGAAAAGCTTTACGAGCAGTTATCGCGCTAGGCTACGGATTATATCCTAACTCAGCAAATTAGGAACGTGATACATTAGCATTCTACTTTGAGTATGGATAGTTCACCATGGCCTCTTAAGTATCTACAATGCCCAAAAATGCTGCTCATTACTAGTGGCGGTACTTAACCCGAACCTTAACTACAGGTCACGTTCTTTTATAAATACAAACCGATTTAATTTTCTACGGCCCCACGAGCCTGTATGTATAAACTCTTAAGACTTGGGTTAATGATTCTCAATAGAATCGCATATTTAATTACATATCCGTTTACTAATCAGACAGTAGCACCAAACCATTAGGACACACACATTAAGCGTAGGGAGCTAATGTTACACACACAAAAATAAGCGTTTGAGGTTTAAAATACACAAAAGTTACTCACCCATTTTCCCTGGCATATGGACAGCTCATCCTGCAACCGCTTGTTCTCACTTGAATAGTTAGCGAGTGGCGACTACTACAAATTCGTCAGAAATTGAGTATAAATGTATCTCTAGTAGAAATGCGTTATGGCGGTGAAAGCGTTCCTTGGATGTGGTGCAGAGCAAGTCCCCCACACGTGGAGGTGTTGTAGTTAATGATGGTGGATGAGTGAGAGCAAGTGTGTCGGGAGAGTCCGGTCCAACAGACGTGTCTCCTCCAGCGTCCCACAGTCAACTGAACACCAGACGAACTGGTCCCTCCCGCCTCACCCTCCCCATTTTCCTCATCCTTCCTGTTAGGTCATCCCTCCCTCCTGCCTCATCCTCTCTCCCTCCCTCATGTTTGGACCTCCCTCCCTTATTATTATTAACATCTTTATTGACAAAATTAATTACAATTTTGCCTAATCTGAGGATTTTGATAGTATTAAAATGAGGATAATGCTGGTATACCCCCTCCCTCCCTGCAACCGTTACGACCTTGGAGAACCTAGTACATGAATCTAGTACCTGTTGACCAGACCACGCACTAGAAACTGAAGAGACGACGACGTTTCGGTCCGTCCTGGACCATTATCAAGTCGATTGTGTACCTAAATGTCCCTAAATGGACTGTGATTTCTTTGTGGAGACAGAAACCAAGCCCTAATATTATGCCCACTAAACAATTGCTTTATTTTTTATATAAATTTTTTGTTTTACCTCCGCGACTGAAATATTCCTGTTTTATTTTTTGTTCGCCTTGCCATAGGCATGAAAATTTGTTTTAATACAAATAGCAGATCAAAATCGGGTAGGTCTCTGTTCTTTTTTAATCAGCTAGGTTATGGTTTACAAAATAAAATAAATACTTTGCCCTTTTAAATAAAAGGAAACAAAATTGTAGACATTGTTTGCAAGGTCCAACGTGAGGTCTGGCAATAGTTGAGGCTAGATAAGACACGCAATATGCTAGACAATAGGCAATTTTTTTTCTGTCGTTGGGTAGTAAATCCCAGGGGCCAGATTCACGAAAACACTTACGCAAGTACTTACGAACGTGTACATCTTTCCTCAATCTTTGACAGCTTTGGTTGCATTTATTAAACAGTTTACAAGCATGAAAACTTCCCATTCAACTGTTATTATTGTTATAAACAGCCTCCTGGTTCTTCGGAACTCATTAACTGTTTAATAATTGGAAACAAAGCCGCCAAAGATTGAAAAAAGATGTTCAGGTCCGTAAGTGTTTGCGTAAGTGCTTTCGTGAATCTGGCCCCAGGTGACCAGCAGCTCAACGACAACTGTATACCTGAAAATGAAATGAAATTTCCATTGTTTTCTTCATTGTTGCCACCACATTATTGTACACATTTGTGAGTACCGAGATCTTCAGCCGCCATGTATCACTGGGATGTAATAACCCCAACTGCTTTACTCTCTGTACTCACTCAACACCCCACCTTAACACTGCTTGCAGATCGAAGTGACCCCAATGAACTACAGGTAATTATTAACTCTGAAATATTAAATAAGGTGGGAACAACAAGAGAAGGGATTATTAATTTAAAACTAATAAATAAAAACTCATTAAACACTGCTACAACCTCCCTGGTCAGAATCTGAATGTGTTTTATTGACCTCACAGGAAAGGCAGAAGCCAATAATCATGAACTCAAGGGGGTATAAGGATCTTGGTAAAGAATACTTGAGAATTAAAATGTAATCTTTACTGATTGAGGATTCAAGGGCAACTCTAATATCCATACAATGGAGAACACAGGATACACAAGGAACACTTTGTCATATAACACTTTGAAACTACTGACGGTCTTGGCCTCCACCACCTTCTCACCTAACTTGTTCCAACCGTCTACCACTCTGTTTGCCACAGTGAATTTTCTTAAATTTCTTCGGCATCTTTGTTTAGCTAGTTTAAATCTATGACCTCTTGTTCTTAAAGTTCCAGGTCTCAGGAAATCTTCCCTGTCGATTTTATCAATTCCTGTTACTATTTTGTTCGTAGTGATCATAGCACCTCTTTTTCTTCTGTCTTCTAGTTTTGGCATCTTGAGGTTATCTTGAGATGATTTCGGGGCTTTTTTTAGTGTCCCCGCGGCCCGGTCCTCGACAAGGCCTCCACCCCCAGGAAGCAGCCCGTGACAGCTGACTAACACCCAGGTACCTATTTTACTGCTAGGTAACAGGGGCATAGGGTGAAAGAAACTCTGCCCATTGTTTCTCACCGGCGCCTGGGATCAAACCCAGGACCACAGGTCCAGCGTGCTGTCCGCTCGGGCGACCGGCTCCCTTATTGTAAAGACTAAAATGAGAACAGAGGTGTGGACGAGGCTGGCAGTAAGAGACCTAAGAGGTCTGAGGTTTGAGCTAACAATAAAGGATATGTGAGAGTATTGAGGTAACAGTGAGCTGCGAATGAGTGTAACCAAAGCACAGAGTGTGGTCGTAATGTAAGCTGTGTGGCCGCAACTCCTGCAGCTGCCTACCAAACACGATCTACCAATCAGCTTGCAGGTCCCCAATTAAACCTGGTTGTACATAGGTGAACAGTTCCAATCAGTGACCAATCGTCTGCTTCCAGAATAATGAGTTATGAGGAAAGGAATTAAACCTCACGTCATTAGAATAATGAAGAATTTGGAGGACTCATAATTACAAGATGTACAAAATATCAGCAGAATTGACAGAGCAAACAAGGAAAATTGTTTGGAATGTGTTGTACACGAACATTGGTACACACATGACCACTGGGACACCCCAGCTGTGAGGGCTCTCCCCATAACCGGGTCGCTTGCAGTATTTTACTTATATAAGAAGACGAGTAAGCTGTTGGTGTATAATGTAATGAAAACTATATTTCAGCAGTTTCTAAATTGTTTATATTTCCACTTTGAAATTTGAATTACATTCGCTCTAAACGTATATATATATTATATATATATATATATATATATATATATATATATATATATATATATATATATATATATATATATATAAACATTAAAGAATTACCAATTTAATAAATACACTTTGAAATAATGTTATTCAGTATAATTAGTTGATAATGAAAGTAATTATATTATTTGTTATTTAACTTTCTCGATTCGGTTTATTCTCGACTCACAATCGGGACTTATTTCAATTTCAATTTCAATCGGGAATTCCGGGTTCGAATCCCGGGCTTGAGTCGAGGACGGGTTGGTCGAGGACAGGTTGAATGGTTGGGCACGTTTGCTTTCACCTAATGCCTTTCTTCACCTAGCAGTAAACAGGTACCCGGGATTAACTACTGTGGAGTTGCCAGCCCGTTCTCAAAATACAACCCGTCCTCGACTCAAGTCCATTACATTCAGCGGTCAACCCCACAGACGCATTCATAAATTTTAACATGCTGTTCATTCAAAACGGGAATTCGTCTCCGGCGTACGCGGAGAGGTTATAAGACACTTTAAATTAACGTTTTTCATAACGTTTTGAAACTTTATGAGAATTTCCTGCCCACCTAACCTACCAGAGGACCCTTAACTTACTGTTGTTGAAAAAAAAATCCCAAATTTATTTTTATTTTCAAATTACGTCCATATTCGGCCATACGGGCAAACGGCCAAAAGCGACGTTCTTTTTAAGAGGACAGGTTGGGAGCCGTGCTGGTCCCTGCTGGTCACACACTGTGGCGTGCAGATAACTTGGGATGCTAGTGGCAGGTGTATTGCATTAAGAAAAATGTTGGATCTCATGAGACGGAGACATTTTTATGCCAATCATCTTACATAAGAGTGAGTTCGTGCATTAGCATCACTTGCAGAGGCATTGATGACACGAAATAATTCGTCTGTGATCAATGCTGTTGTCGAATCTCTCATGTCGTTCTCAGTATATATTAATATTCAAGACTGCAGTTGGTTCGACTTTGAACCAACGATGATTCGGCGTTGAACTGGCGTAACTCTTCGATATTGTCCGCTGGGTTGATGGGACCTCAAAATAAGCACCAACCCTTCAGTCTGGTAGCGAACGTGATCTAGCGCATGAACTGTGGTTCGCAGGTGTGCGCTGGCCCAGTTAGATCCTATTCAGTTCAATTAGATTCTATTCGATTCGCTTTGTTCTGGTCTGGTATCGAAGTTCAAGGATGGTAGCCTATTTAACTCGGATCTGAACCCTGTTTTGGGTTTTGTTCAGTTATGGTCTGAATCTGGTTGGATGGTCTGAACCTTGTTGGATGGTCTGAGTCTGGCTAGGTCGACTGAGTCTGGTTGGATGATCTGAACCTTGTTGGATGGTCTGAGCCTTGTTGGATGGTCTGAGCCTTGTTGGATGGTCTGAGCCTTGTTGGATGGTCTGAGTCTGGTTGGATGGTCTGAGCCTTGTTGGATGGTCTGAGTCTGGCTAGGTCGACTGAGTCTGGTTGGATGGTCTGAGCCTTGTTGGATGGTCTGAGTCTGGCTAGGTCGACTGAGTCTGGTTGGATGATCTGAACCTTGTTGGATGGTCTGAGCCTTGTTGGATGGTCTGAGCCTTGTTGGATGGTCTGAGTCTGGTTGGATGGTCTGAACCGGATTGGATGGTCAGTTATGGCCTGAGTCTGGTTGGATGGCCAAACCAACTTGTCACAGTGTCACCTCATTATAGTGACATGTTAAATGATATGATACATGGTCATGGTCGTTTGTGACCCTCACTTGTTTCAGTGATTAGTTCCAACTGTTTCTTGAAGTGTCATACAATACATTTTCTGACTGAGAGATTTTCTTCAACAGTTTTTTTTAATTTCTTTAAAGATTTACATGTCATCTTAAGTTGGTAAAGGAACATCAACAAAGCAAATATATATTACAGTATTATCGACAGTCAACTTTACCGGTTCTTACTGTCTTTAACAGTGGATCAACGTAGCAAACAATTGGTTCATTACAACTTCTTTCCTGAACCCATTAGTAAAAAATACTCAAAACGTTACTTGATCTTTCAGCTACTTTTCATACCTGGGAATATATAGGTGTCTAGAGATTAGAGTGTACGTATCTGTTTATCAATTCTCTGACAAAATTTGGAGTTGCGCTCTAGCAGCCGTGAGGTGCAGACGTGTCGCCTGGCCTCTCTGGTAGTTGGGGTGTTTGCCGCTCTAGTCGGCAGGGGGTGTGGGTGTGTCTACCCTCCCTGCTGTTCCCTCCTGGTTGGTGTGGACATGGCGCGTTTGCGATGGACGGCCATCTTTCCCCCTGTTGTGAG